GTCAATTTTGTCTTGCAGTGATGTGGTAAGCTGCCAAATAATCAAGATTATTTTAAATGATTTGTTCATACTTTTGTTTTATAATTAAAATTTAACTTCAGTGTGTGTAGAGTTGTTTTTGTTTTTTTGGAGGGGGGTATTTTCTTTGTTTTATTTGGCTTTTAATGCAAGGCAGATATTCCTGTCATTTTACATGATTTTATACTGAGATTTTATATATAATTTATAAAATGTTTCCAAATAAAGAAAAAGAATCCATGGAGTATAGGAATTTATATTTCTTTAAATTTCTATCACTACCACCCCCCCATACACATTTCTTCTTAAGGTTCTTCTCTCTGATTTGTTTTTTTTAGTCACAGGAAAAAGTAAATAATGCATTACATCTTTCATTATTGTTTTAAATCAACTCAAATAAATCAGTTGATAACCTTATGTCAATCCGATTCTAATAGGTATCAATAGGTATTAGTCCTGATATATACTAAATAAGAAAATTTAACACATTAAAATCATAATTATATCATTAAATTTCATGGAATTCTAATGTTATCAAATGATTTGAAATATCTAAATTTTATCTTTGTTTTAATTGGATATGGTGTGCATGCCATTTTGTCTGATACATGGAGATGGCAAAGGGTATTATAAACCCTTAAGATCCCACAAACCTCTAACGTTGCCTTGTTGACAGAGAAAAAGTGAAATATAAAAATGAAAGTCAAGAAATACCAAATTTAAAGCATTAAATGGAAATAAAAATGCATAAATTTATTTATATATTTGACACATTTATGATGATATGCCATATACTGCCGCAGGGCCTAAGATTTAATACTGAAAGTTTTCTAAACAAAACCAACGTATTGAAGCCAACAGTACTAAATGCAATAAATATAATGGCATTTGTTGAATCTAGACCACTGTCAGTAACATAAATCGATTAAGAATTGACTTTGATGGCCTTTCAACTTTCAAATTAATTCATCATTTCCCTTAGACACAGCAATTACAGCCCTGTCACATTAACTTTCTGAAAGTGACCCACTGTGCGACCCGAATGAAAGGATGTGGTGGCCAATATGATTTAAGAAACAATCTTCTAAAGCACTTGCATCATGAGATGCATGTTGATTGGCTTATGGAACTTTACCAAAAAGAACTCTGACTACTTTTCCCACTAACTTTTATTTGAAACAAAAATTTGCAATGGAAAGAACAAAGACTATATATCAATAACAGAATTAAGGCATTATAAATGCCGGAATATGTGTGCTACATTGAATAAAGCAAATCTGCATCTGCTCCATAGATCTCATATAAAATGATAACAGGCCTTACTATTCTACTCTTCTGTATTATAAAGCTTAGCATTTAGTCAATATTAGGTGTTTGTTCCCTCTTCGGTTGTAATGTTTTCTCCCTTAGAGCAGACGAACCCTCACTTCTCATTTTGTTCCTGCAATTGTCTCACTTCTTATTCTGCATCCTTAAATCTCAGTGATGTGAACAGAGAAATGATCAGGAGGGTAAGAACGTTGAAGGATGTGGGACTGAGTCACTGCAAGACCTGAGGTTCTTTTATCTTTCCCTGAGCCTTGGGAAGATGACAGTTTCTTTAACTCCAGAATTAACCTTTCTTGAAACCCCCTTCCCCTGTGTCCTCCCCTGTGGGTTGTATCTGTTCACACTGAGTTTCTAGAGTTTAGATTCCTCTTCAAGGCATTTAGAGAAAAGCCATTCACCCTTCATCTTCCAATACTGTGACTCACACAGTGATTCATCAGTGTGGGCTTATTGCTTTCCACCCATCTCCTCACTTTTTTCTTTAAAATCCATTCCTTTCAGCGTGTGAAAGGAAGTGTGGGGTAATAGTGCTGGGGCAGTGGACATCTGGCCATGTCACAGCTTTCCCTTCTCAATTGTTCTTGTGAAATGAAGCTTTTGGAATGGCTATACTGGAATGTGGTCAACAAATTGTGATTCGTTTTCCAAATTGAATTCCAGGCCTTTGTGCCTCTCATGGAGGGAGAATACTTTTATAGCATCAGCATTTTCAAAACTCAAGACAGACTTATATGGCCTAGGATATTCACAGTCTTAACATTTACAGAGAATGTTTGCTCATCTTTAGTCCAGAGTAGCATTCCCTGTGGGCGTATTTCTAACCTCATACCTGAGGGGTTATTATGAATGCGCATGAAGTAACTTACACGGTCACAGGAGATTGTGAAAAACTTTGAGATGCTTAAGAAAGATTCTTGGTGGTTGGATCTAACATATTCACTCAGGTAGAATTGTCTGAAAGTCCTACGACTTTCAGAATCTTTAAGCTATTTTGTCTATCATTTGTATTTAACCTGTAGCAAAGCGAGACTTGTTACCTACCCACAGGACAATTTCAGCTGAAGGTAGCACAATTCAGTTTATGTGAATGACTAAAAAGCCAACTCTGCATTTACTAAGCACTTATATTACATCATTCCTTGGTCTTAGTTTCCTAATACATACATCTCTATCTCCTTTGAACTGGCTGTAATGTTCTATGTAATGTTCTTCAATGAGGTATGAATTAAATAAAACACTTGGCATATTCATTTCATGTTTAGTGTCTTGATTTGTTATTTTAAAATTTGCCTTTAAGGAATGTTAAATTAATTATGTTACATATGTTAATATGCTACTGATATATATAAGTCATGAAATGAATATTCAAAATCAAATCCGAAGTAGTATCTTTCATATCACTATAATTTTAAGATACTTAAATATATCCAGTTACCTAGATCTTATAAAAATGCTACAAATATTTCTTAATAAGAAGTATATAATTTTCTGGATATACTGAATGCTTGTAAAACATTCACACATATTAATTAATCCAATGTAAGTGTTCCTGTGCATTCATAAATACAAATAGATTCTAAAAAATGGTGGAAGATATATAAATTCACCAACATAATATACTAATGGCTATGAAGTCAGAGTTTTAGACAGCTTCACTGTCTTCTTAAATCATATATTTTGATTTGCTGTTTTTATGAAGTGAATTCTAAAACATCTTTGCCATCATTTAAAATAAAGGTTCTATTCTGTAAAGATCTTCCATATTTCCAGCAAAATTCTCCCATCCAGTCTCAGAATATGCTGAAATCATGGAATAGTTACACTCTTTCTACATGCGATATTAAAATATCAACATTCTGATGTTGTATAACAAAAACCAATGACAGTAGTTTATGCTTTAACAATTGCACTGGTAACTGCACAACAGTAGCTCACACCTGTAATCACAGTTACACAGGAAGCTGAGAAATGAGGATCAGGGTTTGAAGTCAGTCCAGGCGAGAAAGTCCATGAGACTCCTATCTCCAATTAACCATCAGAAAGCCAGAAGTACAGCTGTGGTTCAAGTGTCAGAGCACCAAAACTCAGTAACAGCACCCTGGCCCTGAGTTTAAGCACCAAGCTGGCACAAAAATCAAAATAAAAAACAAACAACAACAACAAAAACAGTACTGCTGATAACTTTCCAATATAGCCAATAAAAGGTTCTTGTTTTTTATCACTCATTCCAGAAGTACTAAGGTTGGAGCTCAGGACCTCATATTTCCTCTGTTTGCTTACTTGCTGATGCTCTACCACTTGAGCTACGCTGCTAGCCCTTCTCACGGACTTTTTCTGCCCTGGCTGGCTTCAAATTGTAATCCTTTGTATCTTAGCCTCCTAAATTAGTAGTCTGGATTCAGGGGTGAACCACTTGGGGCCTGGCCGGTTATTTAATTTTTTTTTAATTATAAAGACTGATATACAAATACACATACTAATATGCATTGATATACAAATGTTGTATAAAAAAACAACTACCAGGAAGACATTACCGGGAAAAGATTACTCTTATAAATCATATTTTTGTTTTTATATTAATAATGCAATTTCAAATGGAGAATCACTTAATGTCATTAAAAGCAAATTCTTTATAACACTGTTGAAAAAAATGCAAAACTGTATGAACTATCCTGTCTTGGTGTACTGGTAATTTAAAGAAGAAATGTATTGGTTTTGTGTGACAATGGAATCATTGCTGTCTATTATTATTTAGATGACATAAGTATCCCCTACACTTTGATACAACTCTGATTGACACGGTATGCTGAATATCCCCTACACTTTGATACAACTCTGATTGACACGGTATGCTGAATATCAGGCATTCAAATTATCAGGACTTTTGAATCTTGATATTTTATGAGGTACCAAAGATTCTGACTTGCAACTACGGGAAAGTAATCATAAGATTTACAGAAATCACAAGATTGACAAAAATTTACAAAAAAATCACAAGAGTTTGTCCAATCAACCAACCAACCCCCCAATAAGAAAACAAGCAATAATGGTTTTGAGATTAACAATAAAGGAATCAAAGACTGGCCCACCTCTGGTCAATTTGTTTATGCAGAAAACACAAGTACTTATTGTATTTTTTTCCAAATTACTGGAGAAACATATGCACTGAAATGAAAATCAATACCTTAGGAAATACAAAAAAAAAAAAACACAATGGGAAACACTACACACACACACACACACACACACACACACACACTTCTTTCCTCCAATTTAGTTCAATTTAGTTTTTCTTCCTTGAAAGAAGACTTATCAGTTAAATTTGTTGGGGATGAGATTAGGAATGGGGCGATGAGGGAGGGCAGAGGTGTGAGCTGGACAAAGGATGTTGCGTGATATGTGGACATGTCAGAATGAAGGACCCTTGTACAATTCATTGAACCTAGCACAAAAAGATGGGGAAAATATGTGTCATGGTCCAATATTTCCACCCCAAGGATTTATCACACTGTTCTAGATGCGTGAACAACATTGACACTGAACAGAATGAGACAAAGAATACTCCAAAGGGAAATGCCCAGAGGTGGAGGCAGGCAGGCTAGGCAGTTAGCAGCAGCTCGTGTCCGGGCCTAGGGGTGCGGGGAGCACCTTACCTTGGGCTGTCCGTGCAGGTCCATTTGTGATATCTTCGTAGCAGGGCCTTGGATGTCTGCGCTCAATCTGTTTTTCCTTTCGAGGAGCTCTTTCATTTCTTCCACCTGGATCTTCAACTTTCTGTTTTCTCTTTCCAGTCTTTGTTTTTCTGATTCAAGTATTTCTCTCTTGTCCCACTCCAAGGTGTTGTCAGCCTGCAGTCTCTCTAGCTAAATACCCAAAACACAAAGGAACCATATGTAGCATTTGTAATTGCCAAAAGCCAGTAGGCCCCCATGAAGAAATGCTGTCAGGGGACATTCCATACAGCCCTGGGCTCCAATGTATGCACCCTGCCAGCAAGCAATGACCGGGGCCATGAACCAGTGAATGAAAATAGGAAGGCCCTCCTACCATCACTGCCAGTCTTTTATTTAGAATAAGACATATTTTGTTCTAAATGAACCATACTTCCCTCTGTACATTTTAAATATATGAACTTTTTGGGTGTTTCTAGGTTTTAATTCACCAGCGAGATTAAAAAATTTAAGATGCATGAGAAAAATCAATTTTGTTTTCATAGCAACATTAAAGCTGCATTTCAAGGTGTCTTTCCATCTGTAATTTACCTTCTTTCCAGAAGAAGGATATTTCCTTAAGTATAAGTCAGTCAAAGAGATCAATTGCTCAAATATGTCTGGAAACCAACATCCAACATGAACATTTGTCCAAATTCAAAAACAAATGTCAATGGCTATGGATCGATTATATAAGAGCTTTCAACTCACCTGACCTTTTACAGAAACTTCTTAGACATTTATGGAAGAGGAAAGAACTCCCCCAAGAGATCTGATAAAGGTCAAAAGATAAACTTAAGTGCGATTTGAAATTTAGTTTCCGATAATTACTTACGACCAGAATTCAAAATGACTTGTAAGGAAAACCTTAAGTGGACCTCACCCCGAACCCTGTCTTTCCGGTTTCTTATGTATATGGTCTTACCCCAGCTTTCCACCCACCTGCACGTCCCTGTCTCCCAGCTCACAGAGTACACAAGGGGAGGGAGAAGAAGGGGCCTTTGTCTCCTCGATTCTTCTCTGCCTTTGGGAGTTGTGAGATTGTCATAAAGGGCAAAGTTAGAATGACACCTAGGGTTTACGGATGAACTGTATAAAATGAAAAGTCTCTGTAAAAGCCAAGATATTAGGCTGAGAAGAGGAAGAACAGAGCAACTACAGAAAAATGTAAGCATAGAGTGTAAGACACAAGTATTCAGTACTACAGAGCAACATACAAGACACTAGTAACCAAATGATGATGATGATGATGTTTGATGATGATGAGGGTGGTGGTGGCGGTGGTGATGATGATGGTGATAATGACAATGAATGTTTTGCCCTACTTGTCAAAAATGTAGGTTCTATGAAGCACACTATTTGAATATAAAAATCAAAATTGTTGCAGTCCTGTGGGATGAATAGACAGGTGTATCAATAAACAGGGCAATAGAACATGCATGCTACAGAATTCCCCTGACCAAGTAACACAGTTAGAATATATAGTGTGGCAGGTTTCAAACGCCATCCTTGGAGACACCATAAGCTATGTGAAATGCTCTCGAGTCTGAGAGGCTTTGTGGATGAGGCAAAACAAGTATAGGTGCCTTCAGTGAGTGGAAGAGAAGCATTGAGCATCTAAAACGACTCAAATATCTTAAAGTAGAAACATGCATTTTTTTTAACGATTAAGAAATTTAAATCTCCTATCAGTAAGATTCAAATAAAGGGGAGTGGGGAGGCTGGGAAGGGATGTGAAGGGTAAACAAAGGAGGAGGCTGCAATGCTTGGTAAGAAATGTACACATTATCCTGCCCATGTAATTGTAACCCCTCTGTACAGCATGTTCACAAATAAAATAAAATAAAATTTTAAAAAAAGATTCAAATAAAGGTTTTTGGTTTTTGCTTCTTTTCTCTTTGTTTTTCTTTTCTTTTTGTGTTGTGCTGGGGTTTGAACGCAGTCCCCTTGATTGCTAGGTAAGCCCTCTGTGCACTGATTATTTTTCGGAACGGGCTTTGTTTCCTGCCTGAGCCTGAGCCTGGTACTAGCTACCTATTTTAGCTCCCAATGTAGATGGGACAAGAATCAGCTACCTCTCACACAACCACTTAAGATGCTGTCTCTATTAAAGTTATTCTCTAAGGACTAAAGTTAAGGTAATAATGACAACATAAAGAAAGAGGGAAGAAGGAAGGCGATTGCTCCAAGTACTTATTTCCTATTAGCAATCAGAGCCCCAAATGACACTCAATGAGCCAAGCTTTCTTAAGTATTTATTTGCAAATTTGTGCTCATTGAATGAGATTTCCCAAATGATCATCTTCAATAACAAGGAACCTGAAAACCATCAAACCTGTTATGTGTCACGGAATATTTCTGGGTAACAACTTTTTAGCATTCTTCTCTGTAAAATATGACTTGGATAACTGAAATTTTGAATCTAGTGTTTACTTATCTTATAATTCCCTTGTAATGTTTTCTTTAAAAAAATAAAGTGAGAGGTGAATACACATGCCATTGAAAGTCAAGACATTACAGTTATGATAAATCAAATATTTATAATTTGAATATACACAGAATGTGGTCTCAGCTGCTTATCATCACTAATATGCATTCTCTAGATTTAACCAATTTAAATTTCTGTGATTAGTTTTTCTGGCATAAGGGATGGTACGGGGAAACAAAGAAGGAGGTAACAATGCTTGAAAAGTAATGTACTCATTTCCTTGCTCATGTAATTGTAATCCCTCTGTATGGTATTTTCACAATAAAAAAAGTTATTAATATAAAAAACACTGCAGTTTTAAATTCTAGATACTGGTAATAAAACTAGACACTGAACAGTTTACATTTTCTTCTTTCCAAATCTCTCACATGGGCTAAGTCCTTTGCTTCTCCTCAGAGAGTATTTTACATATTCTTTCTAGCATGTTTTTCTAGTATGATGCATGCGAGTTCAAAGAGACAGAAAAGAAGTGTTCAATGCTATTACAAATAATTTATTAATGGGAGAAGTGAGGACAACCCTGCTTACTCTCAGCTCTTAGGATTTGGGGATTACTTTGTGAACTGGTAAGAAGGCACACAGTTAACACTGTTCAGAGACTTTGTGTGTCTTGAAATACTTATATTGTTACTTGCAATTGGATATGAGTTGAAATCTAAGACATATCACTTTCTTTCAAAATTTTGCTTGTCTACCTTCTTGCCAGCTACTCAAATAACACTCTTCTACCTTCTCCCACCTCCCATTTTCCACAGCTACCTTTTAGTTCTCATTCCAAACTCTGCAAGTTTTGTAGAGTGGAGGAAAATGTTGATGCTAAATTTCCCAAAGGTAAAGGATTAATTTTCCATTGTGGTCTCTATTGAAAATATGGAAATGCCATTTTGTTTGGAGTTTATCGCATTAATAAGTGAGCTTTTTGACTGTATAGGGATGAAAAATCTAAAGACAAACATATACTTGAAATAATGGTTATATGTTAAATTTATTGAAGAGCTGAGTGGAATAAATCGATTGAGCACATCATTCATTCATATAATTTCCTAAATGTTGCCATGGACCGCTCTAGACACTACGGATGTAGCAGAAAGCAATCAATCATGCTCAATGCCATATTTCATGCGAAAAGAATAACAGGAGTTATTTTATCAACCATTGTCACATGTCTCTGTCAGCCTTTGGGACTTAAAGAAAAAAGCAAATGAGAGAAATTAGACTTGCTCGGGAGAAAACTCACGTGGCTCAAGTCCCGGCAATAAAGACCGCTGAGTTCTCACCCTCTCCTCCCCCGTTGTCTGTCTCTGAGCTGCAGGGGCTGGATCTGGAGAATCTATGTGACAATCATTACCCTTCCTTCTTTACACAGCTACCCAAATAGCTTTAGGTCAAATGCCTAAAGCACCGCGTGCAACCTCTGCCCTTGTAATGCAAATCACCGTTGCTCTTTAGGATATCGTGATTATTTTAAAACAGTCATAGTTTCATTAGCGGACATTGGTACGGCAAGGGCATTTCAGTGGGCTCATGGCATGATCAAACTCACCCCTTCTAGGCTTCCCCGAATTCTCCCTGACCTCCCTTTGAAGGCAACTTCCGCGTTCTGTTCTCACATCAACATGAGGCACTTGGACAAACTATTCGCCTGCGCCCTCACTGTCGGCATCTCCCTCCTATGCCTGACGGCCGCGCCCAAAGGAATGGGTCTCCCTGTCCATTGTTTATTTACAGTGCATATTAATTGCACAGAAGGATTTTACCGTGTGCTTCACACATACGCCTGCCCTCCTTTCCTTAGGTTGAGCCCCTCCGTCTGCCCTGTTCCCTGTCTCCTCATCTCTTATTAGCAACAGCTTTGATGAGCTTCCTCATGACATCTTCATAGAGATGAATTGTATTTTGATATGATTCATTTACCCTCCATCATTTCCTTTCCCTCTCTGCTTCCTTCCTTCTTTCTCAGGTCCCATACTTACCATACAGTATATAATATATAATATGTATGCATAGATCTACATACATATAATACCTATTACTACATAAATATATAGGTGTATAAATGCACATATAGTAATATTGTTGGCTATGAAGTAACTTTTATTCCCTAATCTTTTTTTTTTTTTGGTCAGTCCTAGACTGAAACTCAGGGCCTGGGCCTGAGCCTCTTTGTGCTCAAGGCTCACACTCTACCACATAAGCCACAGTGCCACTTCCAGCTTTTTCTGAATAGTTTGTTGGAGATGAGAGTCTCATGGACGTTTTGCCTGAGCTGGCTTCAAACCACAAACCTCAGATCTGAGCCTCGTGAGTAGCTAGGATTATAGGCATGAGCCACAGGTGAATGGGTTATTCGTTTACTTTTTGACCTATATCTTTTGACCTACTTTTTTGCTTCTGTCTCTGCTCATCTCCAAGTGATTTAGCCCTCTCATTGATTGATAAAATTACTGGAAAAAATAATTTATCACATTTCTGATTGATTTCTACAGTAATTTGTAAAACAACTAGAATCACAGATTGAAATATGAACTCCAGAGAGTTTATGTTGCAAAACCACAACATAGGACAGAACTCTAGAACCTAAAATTATTGTTTTGAAGAAGAACAGATCAATACTGAAACTAAAAACCATTGTAGTGTATCACTGCCGAAAGATCCATGCTCCAATAGCACTGTGCTTATGAGGACAAAAACCAAATTCCCCCAGTTTGTAAATTCATAAATGCAAAGAAGCAATTTAGTTAACAAAAGGTTTCACTGTTTAGACATTTAAAATACAGAATCGTGCTTAACAGTAGTTGAAAGAAACATCGTACTCCATTGAAGGAACAATCCACATCAATGGGAGTTGAGAGGACATGGAATTTTTTCAAGTCATCCTAAAAAGGACTAATTATCTGAAAACAGCCCTTATCCTAACAATGGAATGGTCCAGTATTTCATTTGATATTTTTGTTTATTAACACATCACACTCACTTAGGCATCGGTGGCTCATGCCTATAATCCTAGATACTCAAGAGATCTAAGGATGGAGAGTTCAAAGCAAGACCTGGCAGGAAAGTCCATAATACTCTCACATCAACAAACCATCAAATAGCCTTGTGGAGCTCTAGCCTTTTGCCAAAAAGCAGCCACAGACCAGACATAACTACACACACACACACACACACTATCACATTTACCAGTATGTATTACTGACTCTTTTAGTCAGTTTGGTTGCTATAGCAAGACAGTATGGACTCAATAGCTTATAAGCAATGGGAACTTATTTCTTCCAGGTCTGGAGAATCAGAAGACCAAGATGAACATTCTGGTAGATACTGTGTCTACTATTTTCCCAGGATTCTTAGCTGGTGGAGGAGATGAGCTGGCTCTTTGGGGCCTGCTACACAAGTATCCTAATCTCACCCAGCAAGGCTCTTCTCTTATGACCTGTTCACTTCCCAAAGGCCCTGCCTCTTAACCACATTCTGTTTGGGATCAGCATAACTGCATATGAATTCGGGAGGTGAAGGAACATGACTATTCAGATGACTGGTGTGTTTTGAACACAGAAAACGTGGGAAAATAGTTAGCATATTTCACGTTCCAAATTAGTATAGAAAGCTACCTCTTCCCATCATTGTCATTTTATTTCTCTTTCCACCTCATCAAGGATTAAGTAGAAGACTTTGATTTTACATTTCCCTCATATTCTAAATCAGTGTCAAGTTTCGAACATCAACTGTCTAACACACCTCATATAGAAAGTTTCTGCTCATATAAAATTGAGTAACTTTTTCAGTCGGATATCAGAGAAAACGAGTGTCACCCATTTTATTTCACCCTATACAATGCAGAACTATTTTGAAAGAAGTATGTTTCTCAAGGTAACTGATGTTTTCTGGGTTCATGATCATAGACTTCGACCTGCCCCTGATAAATGCAAATTTGAATTTATATTCATTCGATTTCAGTAAATGCAGAAGAAATGATAGACCTAGTCCTGGGTGAGTCGAATATTCAGACTTGCATTTGTCTAAATTGATAGCCTATGTATCTATCTGTGGTTTTGATTTGCAGTTTTTCTCTAAAGATCAATCACACCAAATATACTTTTATAGATTCTATTTCCTGAGTTTTGCCAATAAGTATTCAGAACGTTCAAATCCACACCACTTAAAGACTTCTGAAGCAACCCGCTCACAGTCCCCAACATCAGGCTTCAGAATCACACAATCATTTCTTACACATTCATAAACTTCTTGGTAATATGAATCTTGTTGCCACAATATGTAATATCAATATCAGTTAAAAGACACAAGAGATTTAAATCAATTCAGATAAAGATATCAACATCTAGTATGACTGTCTTAAAAAATAAAATTACAAGTGACTCTGGATTTCTAATGGGCAAGATCCTTCCAGTCAAATGGAATAGTATTTAACCATGTCAGAAGTTAAAACTCCGCAGCAGGTCTCAGGTTTCTGATTGGATCAGCTCTCCTGACCGCATGTCATCTGTCATTTTGCTTCCACCACGAGATGAACTCTGTGTGACTACTGGGGACGAGAACTCAGGGCTCAGTGTGCTGAGGACATTGTCTCCACCATGGGGTGACATCCACAGCCCAATGGTGTGTCCCATTTAGTGCCGAGTGCCGAGTGGTCAGTTCTCTGGGCCATCTTGGCTCCTTACACCCTTGGATTGCTAGGCCCAACTCTGAAAGTACTACACAGTAGTTCACCCTCCTCATCTGGCTTTCCCAGTACACACCCCTCACCTAGAGACTGTTTAGCTGACTTCACGAGTGCCCCGGAAGTGCAGGAAGGCCAGCAGAGAGGCTGCAGTCCCTCACACAAGAGCACTCCGTCTCAAGCGAGGTATCCTGGCAGTATGTAATTTTTCCAAAATCCTGTATAATGGCCATTATTGCTCTCATTATTATGATTTTAGCCTGTTATCTCACACCGAGAAAGACATAAAAAGCTACCCAGAATAATCAGTAAGCAATGAAGCAGGTCCAGGCTCCACAATCTTATACACCTCCAACTGCACTGGACATCAGATACAAAATACAGCCTAGTAGGAAGGAGCTCAGCCTTGTATGAATTTTTCTAAGAAAGAGAATGCTGGACAGAAATCCCCTCCTAACCAGCCTTTATTTTTTCACTACATTCAATCACTTTCCTAGATTGGAGATACATGTGCATCCAAAATCTGTCTATAATCACCTGTTACAACCCAAATTTGGGATTTTCCATTTTTAATGCACTACTACAATTTTCAGTGAAGTGTAAGTAACTCAGCCCCTTCTGTTATCTCTGAAAACAATAATTCCTCCTTTTTCTCTAAGACAGGGCAATCACTTTGAGTTTATAAGTCAGTGAAAATGTATTTGCTGGTAGTGGAAAGAGTAGAAAACAGGTGTTTCTAGAAATATCACCTGACACACTTAAGAAATCCGTTAAGTACAATAAATGGACTGTGTGGCAAGTCTGTGTTGCTTGGTGTCAGTGGCTGCTAATCCCTCCAGAACCTGGTCCTCAGGTCCCTGAAATGTCAGTGCTTCTTCTAAAACTGAACATATGAATCAGAAAGCCAATTATCTTTTGCTAAGGGGTACTTACACACACTAAGTCTAGTATTCACTTCCAGGAGTAGTTGGGAGGCACGCATTTCATCCTTATGGTGTTGAGATAGCTCAGCTCCATGATCAGCCAACTTAGCATCATCCATAGCATTTTAAGTCATATGCCATTGCATCAGAAGCAGCACTCCCCTCCAGCAAAGCTTCTTAGAGAACTGGTCGACTATGTTTCCATGTGTACCGTTCCCCTCATCTAATAGCTTACTAGCTCTTAACTCACAGATGACACTGTCTCTGCTATACTGAGATTCTGACTCTTGTTTCCCTCAATAGCTATTCCATTGCATTTTCTTGTTTATCATGAAGAATATGCAACTAAATAAAAGCTTAAATTGTAATCTCATGGTTTTATTTTCTGTTCCAGAAAAATTCACATTACTCTCATTTTCCTTTAGGTCTAGGTTAAATCAGGTACTATGATACTATAGAGGAGAAAATACTGGTTGTCAGCAAATCTCCATGAATCCCAATTAATTGATTGCATTCAATGACTTTCTAAACAATGTATCAACTGACTTTTAAGCTAATTCAATTATTACCAATTTTTTAATCCTGGTCTAAGAACCTTGGTATTTTTTTATAATCCTATGTACATTTATTTGTCATAAAAGATAAATCGTAAGTTCCTAGTTTGTAAGAGAGACAGACCTGGGCAATGGAAAGTAATACACAATATTCAGCCTGCTAAAGTATGTGAAGAACATCTACAAAATATGTGCCAATAAATGGTTAAATTACTATATAAAGATTTATGAAAGTGGAAAAGTTCTCTACATATAAACAGTGATTATTTCCTCAAAGCTAATTTTGTAACCGGAAGTTCTCAGAAAAATCATAGAATTTGATCTATATAATATATGTATGACAAGTATGCAAAGTTACATAGCAACGTTATATTTTAGTGGTTTACATTTCCTTACATTAGGTGGGCAAGTGTTTTCATCATTATATTTATCATATATGATTTTAGGTAATCTTATGATACATCAGGATATAAAAGGCTAAGCTCATAATGTCTACTTAAAAAGCAAAGCGATATTATTTGTAAGATTATTGACGTTAATTGTAATACCATGAAGCATGTTCCCATATCTTAATTTGAAGAAAATTCTTACTGAACTCATTCCTTAAGCACAAAACCAATAAAAAATCTAGAGTTATAAAGGCAAAAGCCATTAAGTGCTGGGTACTAGTGGCTCCGGCCTGATTTCCTCCTGATCTTTGAAAGCACATGAGTTGCTTCTTCCTTCATTCCTCATAGACAACAATATTGGACTTGTTGACGTCACTTTAGTATGCTATTCAGACAAATAACAAATAAATTCACCTTCTCCTTTACAACATATAATAAATCTAACTAGATCTCTCCCAGCTTGATCTCTCAAGGATTTTAACAGCTCTCAGTCTCTTTATTTCTATGTGCAAACCCATAACTTTGTCAAAACAGTATCCAAAAACAAGTGTTTTGACAATAAATTTGGGTCTTGTAATCTCTTAGCTCAAATTCCTTTGGCTGCTTCCCAATCCACTGAGAATGTGAGTTCAAGTTCTTCTATCTGCTTGGTCCTGGGCCCTCTCTCCTACTCTGGGCCTTACTGCACTCCAGCTCCTCTGTCTTGGTCTCCTCTGTACCCTCCAGGTGCAGAAGAGAAAACCAGTTAAAAATAATAAATAGAGCCCAGCTAAAGCTGTGACAAATATGTCAGAAAAAACTGATTACAATGAACCAACCACACTTTCCTTTAAAAACTCAGTTATTTTTATTATTGTAAAATTTTGACTCAAGCTGAACTTTGATTTTGCCTCTTCTTTATATTTAGCTTTAGTTTAATGGTGCTATCACAATATATATTAACAGCTGAAATTGTAAAGTGGTATAATTACAGATGCTAAAGAGGATTAATCTTATAGAAGTTTGAATGCCATCCTCCAGCGACATACCGTATCAATTAAACTGAAAGCGGCGAGAAGAGGAGGTACCTGAGAGTCAGTACTAGGACTCATGCTCTAACTTCACACCCTTTTACTTCGTATTTCCTCTTATAAGACATTTTTCTGAGGTTACACTATAAAGTAATTTCAAAATTACTCTATAAACATCTTCTTTCTTGCTATAGTGTAAATGAGAAATTAAACTAGGCAACTTGCCCTTTTCTCTAACTTCAGAAATGTCGGGCATAATTTGCTTATAGATCATTAGCAACAATATATTCTGCATTCAGATACGTTTGGCAAGGGAAAACATGAGATGTCTAAAACAAATATATTATATAACATATAAATAAAAAGATTTCCTTATTTACTCAGAAAGAAAATTCACATCAAAGGGACACAAAAATATAACCTAATAGAACTTGTTTGCATTTTGCCTCTCAGTTCATCTGCCAATATGAAGTAAGAGGATTAAGTAATTAATGCAGACACTAAAGTTCTGTTCTCTGTGGAATAACACGTGGAATATCTGTGCCAATATTATTAACAAATACATACCATTATCCAATCTCCACTGAACACTAAATCCACCATTTCTTCCCTCTCAGTGATGCAGATTCCTTCATAGAAAAGTCAAAGCTAGGCATCCCAAAGCTCTCCAATAGCTTATAACAAAGCTAACAGGTCTGCCTTTCATCTTGTTAAAGAGTTCAAATAACTCTCCTAACCATGAAAGGTTTTCCATTCCACTTGCTCTCGCTGAGATCCCAGTCATTCTACGAATCATTCCTCTGTCTGAGTCAAGATGTGTGTGTGTGTGTGTGTGTGTGTGTGTGTGTGTGTGTGTCTTGTAATTGTAAAAATTTGACTGCTCAGTACTTTCCATTTGTGTTGGTGCAGGGACTGTGGAAGGTACAAAGTAAGACCTCCTCTGCTCCAGTCCTCACTCTTCCTCCCTGGGCCCCCCAAGCTCCCCCACTGGCGTCTTTGCCAAGCCTCATCTCACTACTCCTGGCATCCGCCTCTCTGCACTTGCACTGCACATTATTCTGCCGTCCTTATTCAAGCGCGTAGCAGAATTGTATGAGGTTCGGAGGATGCCCTTGGTATGAGACTGACATATCTGAAGAAAGCTTTTCCTGCGCCTTTCTTAGCTTTCTGTGCAGGGTCTACTGTTCTGTCTTCCTGATACCAAGCCCTCTTAACCCTTAGTTACCCTAATCAGCGTCAACATAGCAACCTGACTGATGATCATTTTTCTTCAATCATTCAAAAATCATTTTCAATTGTGGTAAACCCCAAATCCTACCCAAACTGGAACTCACGACATTTAGAACAAATTGGTCTAATACCCTACTAAAACTACATTTCAAAATGACCAAGACAGAATCATAATAGTGCCTTTATGAACCCTGCTCCCAAGTTTCTCTTTCATGCCCAAGTGGAGCCATTTCTGAAATTGCAATCAAATTGACCCTGGCCAACACATCACCCAGACTTTGCTCTTTGACTTGGCATTGATGCACACTATTTTTTCTCTTGGTATAAGAAGTGAGTATCAATGACATCAGGATGGAAGAAATTTCTGAGCTCTAGTAGTAGTGCCTTATTCCCAAAGAAGACGAAAAATGACAGAAGAATTTGTGCATAAGAAAATGAGTGTTCAGGATTGGGAGAAGGTCTTCACTAACCATAAAACAGATGAGGGTCTCATATCTAAAACATACTTATAACTCAAAAAATTAAATCCCCAACAACAAATACTCCAAGAAACAACTGCCTGATAAATAAGTGGGCTAAAGACTTAAAGAGAGACTTCTCTGAAGAGGAAATAAGAATGGCCAATAGACACATGAAGAAATGCTCAACTTCTCTAGCCATAAAAGAAATGCAAGTCAAAACAACATTGAGATTCCACCTCACCCCAGTTGGAATGGCTATAATCAAGAGATCAAATAACAACAGATGCTGGACGGGATGTGGACAGAAGGGAACCTTACTGCATTTGTTGGTGGGAATGTAAACTTTGCAAAGCAGTATGGAGGTTTCTCAAAAGACTCCACATAGAGCTCCCCTATAACCCAGCAATCCCACTTTTGGCATTTACCCCAATAATCACAAACAAGGCCATACTAAAGCTACCAGAACAACTATGTTTATTGCAGCATTATTTACCAAAGCTAAGATATGGAACCAATCTAGATGACCCTCAGTAGATGAATGGATCAAGAAAATGTGGTATATATATATACACAATGGAATTCTATGCCTCCATCAGAAAGAATGACATTGCCCCATTTGTTAGGGAATGGAAAGACTTGGAAAAATTTATATTAAGTGAAGTAGCCAGGCCCAAAGAAACAGGTTGCATGGTTTCCTTATCTTCAATAACTAGTATGTGTCTAGGACAAGCAGAAAAGGCCAAAAGATATGTACATATGACCATTTAAGCTGATGCTAAGCGAAATGAACTCCAAGATAGGGACACAAGAGATTTTATATTTGTTGCTGTTGTTTTTAATGTATTTATCATGTACTGTGTGATTTTTTTTGTTTCTTTTGTATGTTCTTCCCCCATAGTATAATCCTTGTCATCACTGTATTTGATGTTGGTGCCCTGCATCTTGTATATACATTTTTCTAATTTGGGGAGGGGAAGAAAAATAACAAAAGGCTAATATAAATTGACAAGATGACCCATTGTATCAACGAGATGAACAAGACACTATGTTGAAAACGAAGTTTTCAACTCTGTGGTGGGGGAGGGAGGAGTTGGGGAGGTAATGAGGAAAGGGATGGTAGGGAAAAAACCAAGGAGGGGGTAACAATGCTTGATAGGAAACTGACTCATTACCTTGCTCATGTAACTGGAACCCCTCTGTACAGTATCTTTACAATAAAAAATATAGAAAGAAAATGAATGTTATCAGGCATGAATGTATAACAAAAAGGTTAGTCCAAGTAATCTGAGTTAATGACAAATGCACAGACACTTGAGACTAGTATTTCACAGTGTAGATCATCACTCCAAATTTTAGATAACGCTCTCTTAAATATCTTATCTAATTTCACCCTTCAACCTTAAATAATCAGAAATACATATTCGGTAGATTGGGATCTTATTTCAGCCATCAGGAAAAAATACAACTGAAAAACATCTCAATTCTTTGTTCTTATATATGGTTTGTAGTTTTAAAATTTGTCTCAAAATATTTAATTTTGAAATAAAAATATCAGAAATGTACTCATTACCTTACTTATGTAACTGTAACTCCTTGGTACAGCACCTTCACTACAGCATAAAATATAACAAAAAATTTTTAAAGTGAGAAAAAGAACACACTAACAATTTCCTTGTTTAGATCTGGAGAACTTGCTATATCTTCTCCTTGCT